TTGCCAAGTGTGTTTTAAGGGATTTTGAAAACACATAAACACTATTCCTTAAAGTTTAACATTCTGGTAAAGCTATTATCATATGACTTACCAGGATTCAGCAAATTGCTCAGCGTTGTAAGAAAAAGACAAAACAAGAGCTGTGGGGATTCAGAGAATGGAGAGATTATTTCTAGCTTGATTGATGGAGTGTGAAGAGTCAGAGGAAGCTTATTGGGGGAAATTATATCTGTGCTGAATGAATAGAAGCTGAGACAGAACCTATTTTAGGGGAGTGAGGGAAGTGTGTTGGTCAGATCCATTTGCCCATTTTATGTGATGAGGTTATTTGCTCATTTTATATTCGTCTGAGATTTTAGCTCAGGCTTTCAAGTTATAGCTACCCTTCACCAGATGGGGAAATGGGATGAAGCAGTGACGATCAGTCCTTGTTCACGGAAAGATGACACCAGTTCCCATGGAAGAGGCAGGTTCACACTTCAGTATGACTTAAAGCACATATTTGAAAAGAACACAAACAGGCCAGTTTCAGCAGTCTCCACAATATTATAACAGCATTGTGCTTTTGGAAAGACCTGACATTTACAAGGGTTTCCCAACTCTCCTATGATTTGGCATAAAAATAAATTTATTTTATGGCATTTCTTTGTTGCCCTGTAGCTATTTGATACCGGAGGTAAATAGCCCAGAGCCCAAGCTATTTCAGGTCTACTTGAAGATCCAGAAAGCTGAAAGTGTCAATGTCTGAGCGTTCTTAGAACTCATTATACAAGCACTATGTGGAAGTTCCGCAGGCAGATATAGATCATTAGTAAGATCAGTTTCTAGATTTTTTAGAATGTAAATAATCTATGAATTGTGCACTGAGATTGGTAAGAGAAGAAAAGAAGATTATGATCCTAGATTATTCCTACCTTCACGAGGCTAGCTACCATGTGAGAGAGAAATTTCCAGTGTTACACAGAAAATAACAATAAAAATCCTGGAGGTTTGACAACTGTGTGATCAGATAAGCCTCTATTTGAATAGCAAGCCTGTATTAGCATTCTTTTTTCTCCAAGAAGAGGTTGTCTCAACAACAGATTATATACAAAGTGGAATAATAGAACCTCATGATTTGAAGCTATTCTTGATTGGTCCCTAGTCTTTTTTCCTGATAAAAGCATCCCCATACTCTGATTTCTCTTCAGATCGTATAAATCTTTTGCCTGATAAAAGCATCCCTGATATAATTTTCCTAATATTCCTCTGACATTCACTAACAGCCCAAGCTTGAAAATAATTCAGAGATAGGAAAATGTAATATGGATCAAGCTATACAGCCAAAGAAAATAATATTTTAACATTCATCTGGTTGTTTCATTTTTAATCGAGGGATCAAATAATGCTCATATTCCAAGAAAGTAGTGGGTTTCTAGGGATTTCCATTCAATAATATAGCAATTAAATCTCTATATTTGTTTATTTAAAATGTGTATTGTTTCAGCAATGTTTCAACTAAACAGGGTAAATTGATTTTCTAAGAATTCAATAGTGTAGGGATGGAAAAGTTGGAAAACAGTGTATTAGCTATGACAAAAATGCAGTAAGTGATTATATACATATTTTAAAATTATTACAATAAAAAACATGTTGCTATTAATCCTCCCAGAAGATACTCAGAATACTTTCACTTTTTTCAAATATACTTATCCCATCATTCTTGGTACTGTGCCTTTTACTGAAATAAGTTTCTTAAAATTAAAACACTGTATTTGTTAACTTTTATTAAAACTGTTATAAAACATGACCTTTGTACAACAGAAAAAGTAGATTTACACAAAATTTTTTAAATGTTGCACAATTGGGTGCGATGCTTTTATGGAAAAATTCTTGAAAATCTCTGGTGCACCATGAAATTTATTATTATATTAAAATTTCTAACAGCTGTGCTTTTCTTCTAAATTAAGCAAATAGAGCAATATCATGAGCTAATGCCACATCAAAGTGGCATGTTTCAACACTTCAGTGTCTTGTGTTGCCAGAGTTGAGTTTTCTAAGAGGCCTGGCTCACCCGTCTATTCCTGGAGACAGATGCTGGAGTGGTCACTTCAGGGCACAAGTCAGAATTTCTTGGTTTGCTTTCCAGATTGTGGTGAGGTCCTGGATACATTTTCCTCCCTTCAGTTGCTCTGGCAAGGTCTTTTGCCATGGAAAGGGGTTGTGGCCAAATGGAAATACTTGAAGGGCTGGCCATGCAGAAGTGGGGTTTCAGCCCTATCCTCTAAGGTCCCAGAGGATAGAAGTAGGATCAACAAGATGGTCACTGAAGCAAGAAGATGGATTTCCACTCTGTACAGAGATAGACTGTAAGGAAAATAGGCCCTCTTGATTGCCTGATGCTACTTCTTATGGGAAAAACCACCCCACAGACCCTGCTTGGTTTATTTCTTTTTCGTTAGTACATGGTGATAGTACCTAATGATGACATTCATCATGGAGAGTTGGTATGTAGACGTATCTTAATTCATTTTATTTTCCCTTCTCCTTTCTTTCCTCACCTACCCCTCCATCTCTAGATCCCTTTCCCATTTGCAAAATATCTAGTTCCCTGTTTTCTATTGTCAATTTAAATTGTTTATACATTGAGTATCTGACATAAGAGAAGCCATGTAATATTTAGACTTGTGTGTCTGATTCATTTCACTTGACACTATTCCCTCAAAGTGCATCCGTTTTCCTACAAGATAACCTGAATTCATCCTTCTTCTTGGCAAAGCAGTACTCCCTTGTGTATAAATACCACATTTACTTTATCCGTTCATGTACTGTAGACTAAGAACCTGAGCCTCACAGAGGATAAGTAATTTAACTAACATTGCACCACTACAGAGTATGACCTAAGACTTGGAGCAAGCCAAAACTTAAACCTGATCACTTGTATGGAATTAGCATATAGACTTAACAACTAATCATCCCATGATTAAAATAAAAGAGGGGAAAACTCTCAAACCAAGTATTACTTTTCAAGCAATGAATTACTATGAGGTTTTGGAATGATCAAGATAATCTTAAAATCTGAAGACAAAGATCTAGGATCAGAGGAGGGGAACACTTTTCTAGGCACAGAGGCAGCTGTGACCTCCAGGAAGGCTAATCTTCCTAGGGAAAACCCAGGCCATTTGCGGGGAACAGATCCAAAAGCTGGTGAACCGACTGAACCAAGTTTTGTTTTAGTTAAGGGAGTTGTCGTCTTTTTTCAGCAAACTTTCTAATAATCAGGACTTATCTAAATGGAACTGCATGCCTTGGGAGTCAGTGAGACCATTGTCCCTGGGGATGTCTGTGTAGAACTTCAGTATGTACAAGTCAAGATGGAAGAAAATCAAAGCCTCTAAGTTCTCATCCATCCCAAAGAGTCTACAGTTTCCTCTATGCAACGTATCTGACCTGAAATGTTAACAAAACAAAGTGAAAGAAAGCACAAATAAAGACATTAGGAAGAACAGATCGGGTCTATAATATACTCAGGTTGCTACACATTTCTGGTGTGCAGAGTGAAGGCTAAGGCCTGTCCAAGTATCCTCAGTGTAAAACTGACCACCAGTAGCTACACGGAGAAAGAGTCCCAGTAAACAGGTGGCTTAGTCTTTCTGTCTACATCTGTCAGAGGAGAGATCTTCCTTTCATGACATTGTAGAAGAATGGAATTATGAATTAAAGTTATTATAACACTAGGTCCATAGAGAGGAAATCATATTCTCTGAATTTTCCAGGTAAACAAGGACAAGACTTGCACAGGAAGCCAGGTCTCCCCCTACCCCACAGGCTTATCAGGGTTCTTTGCACTGACCAGCATTGCCTGTTATTCTCCATCCCAGTGAGGATGTTTTTGTGGCTCAGCTGTGGACTCCTTAGCTGAGCTCACCTCTCCTACCTCTCACACATTTTTAACTCACATCTACATCAGTAGATCCTTAATCCTGGGGACCCCAACCTACTTTCTTCAGCTGATTTCTACTTTTCCCATTGATCACATAAGCATATTCAACTTACCTAAAAATATCACTTAGAAATGGGAAGTGACTCAGAGATTATCTAATTTAACCATGGCATTTTAAAGATTAAAAAAAAAAATTAGGAAGCTCGGTGAGATATAAGTTGGTTTCCCAGCCACTGATAAATGTTGTGCAAAATACCTATTGTATGCTACATCCTATCTAGGAGATACCAGTGCCTATGACAGCTGATGAAAACTCAGACAATTCTCCCCAAAAGCCCACAGACAATGGAGCTGGAAGGGCCTGGAGGCTAAGTATAAGAAAGGGGATCAGGATGTCTTGCTGCTAATGTCTTATAATGCTGATGCAAGACAGACTTGCTGGACATCGGTATCTCCAGGAGGGAGTGAATGTTTTGCACATTTCTTCTCTCAGGGCTATTGAGGTAATGGCATATTTATGTTCAGAGGATGCTGAAGGTGGGGGCCCAAGAGAAGCCAGAGGCATTGGAGTGTGTTTGTCAGGGTCCTGCGAAGGCCTCTGTCCAGGCTCTCACCTTGTTGACTCAGAAAAAAGATCAGTGGAGAAAGCAGGAAGAAGGTGGTAGGGGTGCAGGAAACTAGATATTCCCGCTCTTCATAGGTTTGATATTGTAGTGACTGAAACAGGGGGAGCCCTGGCTCCTGCCATATCAAAGGGACCCTCCCTGAGTGATTCACTTCCTCTGGGAAACTCCCTTTGTCTGGACTTGATCTTAGAGGGCAGAGACTCGCTTTCCCTGGAAGGTGCCCAGCTCAAGACAGGCATTCAGCACAGCAGTTTGTGCTGTGTGTTTTCCTCCTCCAGAGAACATCTCACGCTGGTCGCAGACGGCGGCTGCATGCTCGGGTTTCTCTGTCGATGAATGTGTGCAACCATCCACTCCTTTGTGAACTGCTGTGAGTCCTGTGCATGGCAGAGGAATGGCTGCAGCTACCTGCAGCAGAATGAAGGATCTCTGGCACCTTAAGGTGGTGGGAAGAATATTTAGCTGAAGTCAGGATTCTTGCATGTGAGGACTGGGTCGATGCTGGGTGACTTTGGCTGAGCCGCAGACGGGTATGTAGCACTTTAGAATTTCAAAATCCTTCACGTAGATGAATCCATACAGGTTTCACAACAGTCCTCTGCATGCAACAATATTTCAGCTTTCCTTTTCATTTTCTAGGAAAATGAATTTGAGAGACTTCAGAGTCCCAGAAGTACAAGGCAGTGAAGAACTTTGACATAAACACTTCTCAACATCAGAGCTTTTTTCACATAGATTCACGTGATAGTCCAGGCCCCAGGCTCTCTCCCTGCAGACAGAGGCAGTGAACAATCTCTACAGTCCTGTCCAACTATATTCTATGGTTCTGTGCATTAGGCCCAATGGATCTTCTCTTTAATACAGTGTATCTGTGGTACCTAAGTTTTAAGTTATATTGACACAGCGTGAGACAGAAAAAGATGACAAGAGAAAAAGCATCACCCTCACCCTGAGACGGGGGTGTCAGCCAGGGGATTGGCTTTGAGGCCACACCAAGATGGCAGAAAATTGTGTCTCTCCCACTTATCCGCCATGAGACTTTAGACAAGTGACTAGCACACTCTGAGCCTCTGCTTGACTTCCTGAGTTTTCGAATAGGGGTAATGGTTCTGACTCCGCAGGTAGGAAGTTCCTATGAAATAACTCTTTAAGAGGTTGATTGACTGAACAGTTGTAGGCAGGAAGTAGTGCATATTACTGCTTACTGTCTTTTCTTACTTTTATCTGATAGATATGAAAACCCAGCCTGCTGTTAACAATGGAGAATTGCCTAATTTCAGGCATCCAGGATGGCGAAGCTGGAGCTACTGAAGGGACCTACAGTCTCTCAAGCACCTGTCCTTGGAGTGAGTTTGTCCATGATGAAGGACCACTGTGATTGGAGGTGAGAGTGGCGGGGCACAGCAGAAGTTACCCTGCAAGTGAAAAATCATTTGAGGGATCTTTGTTTTCTGCAGATCATGTGAATCATTCCTATTGTCCCACAGCATATCTAAGGTCTCCTGAGTTTGCCCCAGGCCCACATCACTGAACCTTGCTCTGATGCCCTCAGATTACACGACCGGGAGCTTTCAGCTTCTCTATAATGTCAGCTTTCTTGATGCCTCCACACAAAACACTGGAAGGGGAGAATTAGAGAGCTTCCTGTGCTTCGCTGGGGCTATTTTCCAATGCTGACGAATATTCTGTTCACCCATGTCTGTTTACAGAATCCTGGACATTAACTATTTCTGAAGGCCAGGTGTGGTGGTGCAAGCCTGTGATCCTAGCCCTCTGGGAGGCTGAGGCAGGAGGATTGCAAATTTGAGCCCAGCTGGGAAACTTAGCAACTTAGCAAGACCCTGTCTCAAAATAAAAAAATTGACAAAAGGGACTGCAGGTGAAGCTCAATGTGAAGGTCCTGGATTTAATCCCTTGTACTGAAATATATATATATATATATATATGGTACAGATCATGAAGGGCCTTATGAGTGTTTTGATTACCTCTTCCATTTTTGTCTCAAAAGTATTTAAAGCAGCAACATTTTTATTCCTCCAAGTCTGAATTTGTTTCTAAGAAGGTCCAGCATAAAGAATATGCCTGAGCCCAACGAAGTCCTTAGAATGACAACTTGAGCTTTGCTTTGTGTGCCCTTCCCAGGACCTGTACCATGCTGTTTTCCTGCTTGGACACAGTCTTCCTTGAAGTTCAATCTGGGAAACCTTCCCAGCAGAGACACCCAATTTTGCTAACCTTCCTGCCGTCTTTCTCAAGATATTTATTTCCCAGCATACCAAACATTTCCTTTTTCTCTCTTTCCCCACCCTTCCCCTCCCTACCCTGGATCTCTTCCTCTGCCCAGCATTTTCCTGGCTGTCAGAACTTGTCTCCTGTCAGTTGTTTCTCCCTAAGCTTAGAAACACCCCAATGTGGTGTCCTTGACAAAACAATGCATTGCGGTGATGCAAGAGCCCAAGGTGTCAAAATAACTAGGTAGTTAAAGGAGAGCGTGGACAGAGCCTCTTCTTTCTGGAAAGACAAACACACACATAAAGAGAAAAGCTAAACAAGGAAATCAATTTCACATCTCCTTTGTCTCCCCATTGCTCCCTGGCTCTGCTCCAAAAGCCCAGTACCTGGGATCCATCGATCCTCTCAGAGCACAGGGTCACCTGACCAAGGAGGCGGGACAAGCTTGAGCACCAGGGAATAGAATATTTTCAAGGTTTCAACACACCCACACCCCTTGTTTTTGTCTTCCCTGTTTGTTTTCACACCAGCCCCACCCCAAACTCCTGTGGGTACAATGGCCCCAGATTATGGCTCAATGCCATGGATGGCATGTTGCTCAAAGGGGGCTGGGGGTGCTTAAGGGCAAAGTATGCTCCCAGAAAACCAAGCCCTCAAGGTCACCTCCCCTTGCCTCTGCTTTCTTCATTCTTTAAATACTCAACATTTATGAAGAATCTGCTATATTTTAGGGATTGTTCTTGGATCACAAGGAGGGCCCTGAAAGAATGCAGAGGTCAAGGCTGCCGTAGAAGCTCACTGTGGTAAGAAAGTGAATGTGTAGACAAACGCTATAGTCTGCTGGGAGGTTGGGGCTCAAAGCGAAGTCCGAAGGAAGCTCTGAAGTTTCAGAGGAGGGTCTGGCCAACCCTGGTGGGGTCCAGGAACAAGTGCAGAGGTGACATTTGAATTGTGAATTATCTTTCGACGGACAGGAAGAAAGAGAGCAGTCTGGAGAGAGGAATGGCATATTCAAAGACAGGAAAGATTCAAGACAGTATTGTTTTCTGAGACTGTAGAGTTTGAGACTAAAACTGAGGTGATGCTGGAGGTTGGTGGGAAGAAGGAGATATGCTCAATAGGTGGTTGGGGCAGAACTGAGAGTATCCTTAACACTATGCCAAGGAATGCGGCCCATCCTGAGGGCACCAGGGAACCAGTGAAGGTTTCTGAGCAGGGGAGAAATGTGGCTGCGGTGCGGCAGCTCTTCCACAACCACCCTCCTGCTGGCAGGCCTCACACTCATGCCTCTTCTCATCCACCTCAGTCCTTTCTTTAGCTGTAAAATAAGGCAGCATTCAGCATCTACAGGTTCCCAGGAAGAGTGCCCCCTAGGTGACCGGCTCTGGGAATCTAGAACCCTTCCACCCACCATGCACCCATTTTGGCAGAGGGGTTACAGAGGGAACTCTGGTTTCACCAAGTCCCTGTTTTGAAACGTGTGCCTACCTCTCATGATCTGTGCTGTCTTGAGCAACTTATTTAACTCTTCTGCAGCCTCGGAGTGCCCACTGTAAGACGGGATCAAAAGATAATTGCAACTGTTCATCGGGCTTTTGAGGGGAGGTAAAGCAAGCGCAAAACACAATCTATTTGTAGCACATAGAAGTGTTTCACTGTGTGCGTTTCAGGTCTGTCTAACTGGCTCTGCCTAGCCCTGTTACTTAACACTTTCCTGTGACTCGACTATATGGCTCAGTGATGCGGGCAAGAGGGCTCCCTGCTTTGGGTCACATGCTTTACTCCCTGAAGCTAGATACCACTGCATATCACAAATACAAACACAAACACAAAAGCCAGAAAAGGATGTGGCTATGTCTCGCTTTCGTGATCTGGTACTCAGATTTGGCAAGTCTAGATCCCTGACCCCACACAACTGCTTTCGTAATAGACACCATTCAGCCCCTCAGATCTTCAGGTGGTTTGTCCCAGAAGCGTTAGTCACCTATGCATGCTTGAGTGTTCTGAATGTTTGAGGGCTATGCCACGTACAGATTCTGGAGGGGGATAATGCTTTGGAAAATAGGAAAGATTTGAATAGTTAGAGCACTTAGTGGCCATAAGTAAAGCAGTGGTTAACCTGTTAATTCACCGGTTCAATGTTTCATCTCACATAGCATAAATGAAAGATGCTTATAGCAAAGTAGTCCTGAGAGCCCATTTTCTTATACCTTTTTATGTTCTGATGCATGAATCTGGAGGTAGTCATGATTTAGCATGACTTTCCAAATGTTCCACATGGGCAGCTGAGGGAAGCTTCACAAAATTAAACAATCTATATTACTCCTAAATTTGCATATACATGGGTTAAGGCGTAATCTCTATAACATGTATGACATATATTCCCATTTTCAACTAAGTGGCCATTAAAAGCTGGCATTGTTAAGTATCTAATTTATTGAAAGAAATAACTAAATGAGATTTAATTAAATCTTCAAAAACAAATTGAAAAAAGCTTTCCTCAGATGATTGTGATTTAAAATGTTATCTATTAGTCATATTTACAGTTTTCTTTTGAATTTTAATTAATAATTTGAAAATTTAAAATATTTTTCAGAAATGTTTTCAAAACTGTATATGAAAGTGAATCTAATTTGCAATTTTTTGCATTTGCTTTTATTTACATTTTTGATGAAAATCTATTCAAATATATACCTCCAGCACAATGACAATTTGTCCCCTCCTTTAAACCAGTATCCTCCAACAGAATTTTCTGCCACCCTAGAAATGTTCTGCATTTGTGCTGTCCAAACTATAACCACTAGACATGTGTCTACTGAGTATGTGCAACTCAGCTAAGGAACAGGACTTTTGCTTAATTTCAGCTCACTTAAATTGAAATACTTCATGTGCTCACTGCCTATCACATTGAAGAGCACATTTTGTGATCACTGAAACAAGAATAAGTGTAGATGATATTAAAAATAGGGGGAAAATGCACCTAAACTGGCCTTTTCTCTTAAAGAAGAAAAAAAAGAAATGGAAAGAAAAAGAGAAATGGAAAAGCATGGGAGGCCTCTAGATAAGAAGTCTGCAGAGAAAAATAAAGAAGTGGCTGGCTGAATTCACTGAAATTGAAATGATACAAATAAGCACAATGAACTGCACACAGAGAATCCCATGTCTGACCATGTGAACTGAGAAAATAAAAGCCAGAATTGGTGATATAAGCTGCTCTCAACTTACTTGACATAAGTTACATCCTGATAAATGCACTGTAAGTTGAAAATACCGTGTTGAAAATGCATTTTGATACTTCTCATCCAGAAGCTGTGGATGGTTTGTATAGACCGTACACAGAGAAAATGCTTGAATGTTAGTATGAAGTTTTTAAAATAATAACATTTAGCCAAACATAATAATGCTTTTTGTAGCACTAGTGGATCAAATTCTTCTCTGGAATAAAAAAGAAAATTTCTGGATCTAGTAGAAATTATTTGGAATGGGTGGTATTGACATATCTCAAACATGTAAGACAAATAAAAAGTAATAAAATAAAATTTCATTGCTCAATTTAACTAGCTTACTCCAGGGACAGAAGCTGCAGTAAACAACTAACAATAGTTATGCATGTCATGGAACTATACCAAAGAAAAAGTCAGGATGTGAAAATTAATTTCATAGGTTTTACGCTACTTGTAAAACATTAAAAACTACATCTTTTAAGGGGAAAACTAAAAACAACCAATTTTCAGTTTTATTCATCTATTTCAAAATTTGCCAAAAACTATCCTATAAGGACACTCATATGAAAGATAATCCTCAAGCTGTAGACTCTCTTTTCCAGTGACTACTGATCAAATTTTAAGGACAAATTTGAACAAATTTGCCACTAAGGGACATACTACTATTTTCAGGTTTTGTTACAAAGATTACAGCTTTTTTCCTATAAAATGGGGGCACTAAGAAATACTTTGGCCACTAATGCTTTAAAAGCTGGTGCAAATAGCAATGATGTAATTAATCGATATCTATAGTTATTTTCTGTGATAGTAATACTTTATCATACGTGACTTATAACCTCAAAGATCTAACGTTTGGAAGTGGGGACTTACAAGGGTGTATTCTCATTCTCAGTTTCGCTCTTCTCTCACTGCTTCCTGCCTGCCATTCAGTGAGCAAGCTCTCCTCCACCATGTCATTCCGCCATGCTGTTTCTGCCTTGGAGCTGAGCATGGACTGAATCCACTGAAACTGTGAAGTAAAATAAATCTCTCCTTTAAGTTGTGAGTGTCAGGTATTTGTCCCAGTGACCAGATAGCGACTAGTACAGTGATTCATAACAATGCTAGAAAGTGGAAAAAGATGTATAAAATGTATGGTTCATTTTTTCATAGAAGTGTTACTATAGTAACTTTATTAACAATTTCTTTTGCTATTCTCTCAGGCAAATGGATGTATGAGATACCCAGGAAAGAGCTACTGCTTGTCTCCAACAGATAGAGGAACAGGACTGCCAGATAGATGTCTAGGTCTTCAAGGATGTGGAAATGTTTGGGGGCTTTTATTGATGATTGTCTTTGCATTATTGACTTCAATATTTATGGAAATCAGACTGCTAGTCTTATGCGAGCTGAAAGATGTCTATATTTTCTAATTGCTAAAATGTTTTACAAGACTTACTCATGGAAGCAAGTAACATGGAATTCTGGAAGAGATAGGTGTCGTCCAGGTATCTGGGAAACATCTGAAAAGGAGACCAGAACTTTTTTCCACATGAATCTTTTAAGCATGATCTACCCTGATTAGCAAGCACTCATGCATTTGGAAGGACATTTAAATCCATATATTCATTATCCTCTCCACTCTTCATGTATAGGCATAATTTTGCATTAGGCATTTGATATATGAGAGATCTAACTTTCAAGGGAAATCATATCTAAGTCTATATCTGTACCCATATCTACAGCTATCTGTCCAATGTGCTTCTGTCTTTCACATATGCAATTTTGAACTTGTTACTGGTAACAGGCTCCTAAACTGGACCCATGCTGGAAGAGGAAGTTATGAAAGGAAGTGTGGCTAGTGTTAAACCTCTCTGAAATGACTCCTCTCTGAAATACTTCTTTTGTTAAGGTGTTATTCTTTTAAGTTTCAGATTAACATAAGTTTTTTTTTAAATTATACAAAAACATAATACCATGATTATGGAAATAAAAAGCCACCCACAAGCTTACTATCTTTGCAAATCATCTATTTTCATTCTTTCCTGTCTTTTTCAAAAAAGCATGTTTTTGCCACAGTGTTGGACATGCATACAAATAGGAGTTTGCATCCTGATCTTTCTCTTAAGCATCACACAGTGAGTGATACCAAGGGGGTCTGAATAGCAACATATTTGAATGACTTTAAAATGTTACTATACATTGCATATTATAATTTATATTGGCTCTAAAATATCATTGGGAGATAGCTAATTTACCTCCAATTTATTTGTTATCAATAACACCGCTTTTCTGTTTTCTTTTTGCCAAATCTTTATTTTCTTAAAATATATCTCCAATAGTGGAATTGTTTCTTCAAAAAAGCTGAAAGCTTTATGTAATTGGAGATCACATGCTTGAATAAGTTAAATTTAATCACTGTCTTCCTCCTTCAGTGGAGCATGCTAAGTTCGTGGCTCACCAATTGCTAACTAGCTCTGTGTTCCAGCTTCCTGGTTTATTCCTATTCTAATCCAGCTAGTTCACAGACAGCCCTTTGCCTTTGCCTTTTTCTGATAAGGATCCTCTAGGTTGCGTTTCTTTGCACAAACAAGTTGCAGGGGCAACTCTTTGCCCCACAGCTCCATCATTTCAGAGATCTATTGTCTGTCTTCAAGGAATTTCCCATGTGCTATGGCATCAGTGACACACAGTTTCAGCGATTGTGAAAGGGGCATACTGATCGACCAGGGAGAGGCTGGGCTCCTGGCCATCAGGTTCTTCTATCTCTTACCAATTAAGTCTCTGCCAAAGTACCTTGGGCTCTGCTATCAACCTGTCTCACCAGCTCTTACCAAACTGCTGGCAACCATTTGAGCGTAGGCACAGGCATTTAACAATACACCCACTCTATCTAGAACTGACCCAGGTCCAAAAAAGGACTCCTTGGACACTCAGATGCAGTCATTCTCCTAAAGAACCATACAGGTTGCAAAAGAACATATGTATGCTCTAGAATATGGCTGAGAGATTATGATTCTATAGAGATTCAAAAGAGATGGATACATCATGATAGGTCCTAAGCAGGGACTAGAAGGACAGACTGGACTATTAGAGGCACAAAGGCGTTCAAAAACATTTAGTTTACAAGCCTGAAGGTACTCAGCATCAAACTGATAAACACCTACTATATCCCAGGCTCTGGGCTGGGTGCTGGGCACTCACAGATGAGTTAAGTAAAATTGCAGATCTTCAAAGATCACATACACATGAGAAAGACACTCAGAATACCATCAGGCTATGGTGTAATGTGTCTTATTACACAGGAAACAGTAAAGCACTGTTGATACAGTGCTCAGATATGACTAGGGAAGACAACAGGCAAGACACAACAGTTCCCTTCTCCCGAGACCTGAAAGGACATGGAGTGTTTTATGAAGATCACATGAGCAAAGTAAGAGAGTATAGAGGTACAGTGCGAGGGCATCTCTGCTTTTTATCTACAGCCCTGACTCTTTAGTTCCGTGATTGAGATCAGGTTTTTCAAAGTCTCTGGGCCTCAGTTTTATTCTAGGTAAAATGAAAATCATAATACTTCACAAAATTCCAGGAGACACAAAGAGAATGGAGGTAATAAATAGCCAAGTAAAAGAGTTTCATTATTATTCCTGTCATATAGGAAATCATTTTGGAAGTTCTCTAGTGTGGTGTACATGAGCAGTTCATGGTGTGAAGGCTGGATTACCTGCTCTCACCCTCCGGCCTCCTGCTTATTCCTTGAGGAATAAGGAAGCAGGGCCACTCACTACATCTTTTTCTTTGCAGATTCTACGGTGTAAATACTCAGAGTATTACCTTTACACACCTAACTCTTCCAGGATGTGATTTTTAGTGTACTTTTTTTTTCTTTTGGGAAATGAAAACATGTAGAATCCACTAAACCTAAGGATGTTTAAAGTGCAGGGAGAGCTGGCCTAACATTTGTTGTTCACCTATGCACCAAAGATTACTGCACAGGCCAATGATTTGATAATTTCTCACAAGAAACTGTGGCAATAGCCAAAGATGACAGAGATGCCGGATGAACCAGGGAGAGAGGGCAACTCAAAAGCAGCCACTTCTGCCCTCTGAACTGGCATCCCAGAGTTACTGGCTGCCACAGAGGTGGACACTTCTGTTTGAGAGTTGCTTTAAGAGATGAAAGGATCTGTGATCCTGGAAGCCTCCTTCCCAGACCTGCCCCAGGCCCTTCAGTTTATGTCCTAATTCATTCCTTTGTAATGAGACAAAGTCACAAATCTTGGGAATTCACTCTTTGCCACAATTATAATCTGTTTTTTTACACAGTCACACAGGTGTGGTAATTACCAACACTTTACCAATGAGGAAACTGAAGAATGAACCAAATTAAGTCATCCCCAGTGAACACAGTGACAGCTGGGCAAGCTGGGATTTGGACTCAGGCTCTTTGACCTCAGAACCCATGCCTTTGACTGCTGTGGAATTTTGCCTCCTTCCAGCAGGTGAGCCTGGAATCTCCACATCACAAGACAAACCTTGTCATCTCAGATCATGAGTCACAGCCAGGGGCTGTCTTAGAACCGGCTCCTCCTGCAGCAAAAAACCTGAAGGAAAGGAAATTACTGAGGAAGAAGTCCAGGCAGTCCTCTTCCTGCCCAGGCAGCCAGATGAGACCTGGTTCAGGCTACATACCTCGCATGGTTTTGCCGGGGATTTGAGAAGGTTGGTGGTTTTCCTTAGCAGGGAAGAAGAAACAGTGTTTTGGGCAGAGAAACAGCCAAGCTTTTTAATAATCTTTTCCAGACTCCACCTCACTATATTCTTTGTACAGGTTATTTTTTCCTCTTGAGAAAATTCAGTGAAGCTTTTCACCCCCTAAACACAGCACTGAGCAAACCTCTTCCTGCTCAGTAGCCCCAATCAGAATTTCCTAGAGCCTCAATCAGCAGTCTCCAAATGTTCCTGCTCATGTGACACCACTGATAAAGAAGATTAGCCTATGCACCTTTCTACATGTACAGTGTGTGTAGGCACATGTGTAAAGTCATGGCAAGAGATCACGCACACATAATCAAAATAAGTCAAAACCAGAAATGACAGAAAAAGAGATTAATGTGAGGTTAGGAATAAAATGGATGCTAATCTGCATGACATTATACTACTTTTATCTCAAGGCACAATCAACACTTTCAGCAGGGTTCGTTATCAATAATGATGCGTGTAAACCTGTACTTCAAGTATTTTTCCTGAGAATTTTAAACTTGAGGGGGTGTTCCTCCTTTTTATATCTGCCTCAGTCGATACTGGTTAAAACTCCCGAAATGTAGCTAAAAGAAAGCCAAGAGAGAAGAAAGATAAGATCTATCATGTTCCTATTGTTTGCTTGTGTTTTGGTATTATTCTAAACCCGCAAGTTCTTTGCAGAAATCTTTTAAAAACAAAAGTTCATTGTGGGAGTGTTTACATGGTTAAATATAGATAAGCAATCCACAAACCCATGAAGCTACCTGAATGAAAACAGCAGGTACCTCACAGACCTATGAGACATGTCATTCTCACCATTCACTCAGAATAACCTTAGTTGGAGAGGAAACGAGCAACCACTGGTCACAAGAATCCAAGGAGGATACTACACTCAATGCATCTATGAAATAATAGTAACTATTCATGTTCATTGTTTTGACATTTCAGTCTGACCTGCACACCCTCCTGAGAAGATGCACTCCTCTTTGCAAGCTCTGATCTACCAAGATCAGATTCCTTAGCCTTCCAAGATCAGTGACCTCCTTCTTTAATCATACCTCCAACCACCTCCAGCCCTGCCCTGTCCTGTGATCACCCACACACGCTACTGTACAAACACAAAGGATTAGTGTTCCTCTGAAAAGTTTCCTCTCCTGGCACTTCGCGCAGACTCTGCCTTCCACGTGGAACAACCTTCTCTATTATTGCTGCCTTTTGAAATTTCACTCACTTGTGCACCACCTGCTGTGTGACACAATGGCAATCACTTCTTCATGAGTGTTGGACGCTCGGTGTCAACCCAGTGAAGCTTCATGGCAACCCTAGGAGATAGAGAAGATTGTGAAAAAGTTAGAAAACAGAGAATTGTCCAAAACCACGCAGTTAACAAATGGGGAGGCCAGAAACCCAATGTGTGAGGACTGCCAGTTTCCACAATCTTATCACTGCATGTGTGTTTTGATTAATTTCACTTTTTTAGATAGCTAAGGCCTTCACTAATCCCTCCCCTTCTCCCTACTTCTGTTGATGTAATTAGTTACTCTTAGGATGATATTTTCCTGGTGGCCTGAGGTGCACACTATAAAGATAAACAAATGTGTGTACATGTGCATCTGTCATAGATCACAAAGATTTCAAAATGGAAGACAAGAGACTCATTTCCTTATACTTGCAGAAGCACTTACAGGTTATCATACTCTTATCTATAGTGACTGGTTGATAAAGACTCAGGGTTGTGTCTATGTAATCTGATATCCCCCAAATTTAAGTGCAATAAAAAGCTGGGAACCCATTTCCTTACAAATTAGCACTTGATAATGGTGGATGATTGGAGGATTTGGGGGTAGGCCATTGTAATGTTAAGAGTAATTAATGCAATTTACAGAAGGAACTTTGGCTCATTTGATACTGAGAATCTCTTTCTCTCAGACACACACACACACACACACACACACACACACACACACACACAGCACAGTGTAGGAAGTTTTCTTCCTCCATTTTACTGACTCAGAAGCAGACTCAGGCTTATAGATATGGAATGGCTTGGGTAATCATCACATAGCTAGATTTTTAAACTCAAATCCCTTGTTCTTTCCCCTGCTCTGCTCCTCTGACCAAAAAAAAAAAAAAAGAATCCTATAACGTGAGGCATTTGAGCTATCAGAAACTCTTTACCATGAGCGTAAAGTAAATAGCCCCGTTTTGCTGTTTTTTGGAATGTTGTTCTTTATATACCTGAAGCCTTGAGCATTCTACATGCAGGGGAGAGACTGGTGGACTTGTAATCCCTAGAGGACTCGACAGAAGCCCAGTCCATCTGTGATAAGTATCCCTTCCAAGGGCCACAGGTGTGCACAACAGAGCGAGCGTCTTTCTTTTCCGCCTCAGTGCTGAAACCATCCTAGATGCCTTCCATCCCCTGCTTGGACAATCAGTCCTTCCCTCCTTTTAAAAAATGTTTCTTATTAACACTTGATAGTGTTTTTTTATGGAAGTACAATACACAGGACTCCAGTGATAAGCTACATAGTAAAACAAGCAGGCTGGCAGTCACCCTCCAGATACAGAGATGTGAAGGTACACAGAGCAATCTCATCCCTACCCCAGGGGCTGAAAAGGACAGACTGGGTCACCTTTTCTCACCTTTGCTGGACATGGCATCCACACCTGCTCAGACAGCAACCATACTCTCCCTGGAAATAAGGTCATTAAAGTGTTAACCTTCAATCTCCCGGTGCCAATGCTGATGGAAGGCGGCTTTCCTTTGGGATGTACCCTAGTGGGCAGGACTCGTGGAAAGAAGTGAAAATGTAAAGCAACTGCTTTGCTCCTTATAGTTCAGAGCTTCCTGGCTGAGATGTACAACAAAGAAACGGGCTGCCTTTCAGAATATCAAGCTTGCAGTGCCTAGAAGGATTCAAGCTGCCTGGAGGTGGCTTCTAAGGCATATATTAAGAAAGTAGATGGTCTGGCATGATGACTGCTACGTCATCCCTTTGAGCAAAGGCATTTTGTGTTTCTCCAAGTATTCGACACTTGAATGCCTTGGGAGATGGGTTTAGCAGAGCACGTGTGTTCCATAATACTTGGCCACAATGCACGGCTGCTGCCTGGTCACAGAGCAACTTATAGACAGCTGTTACCACCCTTATTTCAGTGGCATGGTGAAGAGGGAATTCAGAGACAGGTGAGGGGCCTGTGAGGAAGAGCTGTCCAGTGTCCAGGTCCTCACATTCTCTCTGGGATCTCCCCTCAGTGGTTTCCAATCCCAAGGAGCCATCCTATCGCCCTGGGGAGCCCCCCTTGCCCCTTAAATACCTCAGAATGTTTTTCTTCTACGTTATGAAGTCACAGAGTCCCAGTGTTTGAACAGTCTGGAAGGTCAGAGTCAAGCTCTCTAGAGTCCGCAGGAAAGCAGTGCTTCCCACTGACTCCCTCTGAGAACTAGCAAATGGAACTAGCCCCATGGAATCCTCAGGAATTCTGTCTGGGCTCAGGGATAAATAGGGCAAAAGTCACAGCCAAGTCTTCTGCCAGCTTGTCTCCAGGAAACCGAGTCAGTGTTTGTGGAGAGAAAGTGCTGAAGTCCAGGAATGGGGAAAACGGAATACTGTTTGATGAGCCTGCAAGCATTGGGAGTGAGGGGAAACAATGACGACACAACAAGGAGTATTTTTTTTTTTTTTTAACATAGGAGAAGTCAGCAGGAGAAAATAATGAACCAGGCATCAAGAAAGCTACATCACTGCCATTTTGCTTTTTGAATTTGGAGGTATCTAACCTCCTTGAATCTCAGTTTCCCTACAGAAACAACAATTTGTGGGATTAAATCAGATAATGACACAAAGCATTTGTAACTAGGAACATTCGACAGAAGACGGGTACTAGTGTGACCAACCTGGTTTTTGTGCTTTTTAGTGTCCCCATGAGAAAGAGGGGAGTCAATGTTATCATTCCCTGTGGCAGGCACAGAAATCAACACCCAGGGTTGTAAAGGGTGGTGGGTTGTGTTCTACAATATCTGGACCAGAAGGAGCCATCTTCTTATGTTGGGAAGACATCACTGACAAACTCCAGCCTGGCGCGTCCTCTCCTTCCGAGAAAGAGCATCACAGAACAGCCTTGGGTGGTGCCCCAGACCACAGAGATTTCCTTCTGCTCAGCGGCACGAGGCACAAACATGCTGGGATAGAATTAGGATAATGACCATTTTCACATCAACTTCTGTACCTGGCCCCTACCTCTCTTCCTTCGTCTTTCCTGCCCTCTGCTATTGATGTGGTGGCTGCTTTGGGGCGAAGGATGGTGTCTCAGTTTGGGAAGGAATATCTGCCCTTTCTCTCATTCTCTGTTGTTAGAGAATCCCCCAGCCATCATCTATGACATTTGACAGTTCCCAAAGCACGCTGACTTCTGCTTTTCCAGCAGTGCAGTCTGCTGTGAGTTTCCCTGACCACAGTTTCCCTGATGGCCCCACACTCTCCTCCAGCTCTCCCTCGCCATCGTCGTCACTTGAGGAGAAGAAACAAGAAAGTCATTCAAGTGACTCATCTGTCCGCACGGGCAGGAGGGGGAGAGGCAGAGAGAGTGTGTTTGTGGGTCCAGATGATTATTTCCGCAGGCCTCTTGACTGCTTCACACGATCTGCTGAGCTTCATGAAAAGGAGGATATAAAAATCAGAGCGGTGCCATATTGCCTCCAAAAGCAGCCGGAGTGAGAACGAAGTGTGATCGCCGCCTCCTCCAAACGCAGGGCAGCTCCCGCCTCACATCCGCGTATGTGACATAGCGGCTGCCTTGTCGGGCTAAGGGGGCCCACACTGTCTGCACCCCTGTCTCAGCTCCCTTCCTGGCCTGCTCCTGGGCCTCTCCATCCCCCTTCCCGAGAGGCCCACTGAAAGAGATGCCAGCCCGGAGGCACCCAGAATTCTAAACTTTGTGGTGGCCTTGAAGCCTCAGAGAACAGGGATTGTACTGACCAAACCGGGCATGAGGAAGCGGTCGGAGTGGGAGGGGCCTTACCTTTACTCAACCAGATGGACTCTGGTTTGATCAATTTTGCATACTAGGGGGGGCATCTACCTAGGAGTTTACTGGAAAAAAAAACAAGACAAAAACAAAAAACAGCTCACTGCAATTACAGACAAAAAAGGAGACAAGGATAACTTTGAAAGTTCCCATGGCTGTAGCTCTGTGGTTCTCAGATTTGACCATGCTTTGAAATATCCTGAAGGGTCCGATAAAACAGATGGTGGGCCCCTCCCCAGGGCTTCTGGCTCAGTAAGTGAGATGGAGCTGACAGTCTGTACTCCATTGGTGATGTTCTGGGGACCAACTTTAAAAATCACTCATCTAGCTGGTCTGGTGGTATAGGCCTGTAATCCCACCACTGTGGGAAGCTGAGGCAGGAGGAGAACAAGCTTGGGCAACTTAGTAAGACTTGGCTCCAAATGTCAAATGAAAAAGGGTAGGGATCCAGCTCAGTACTAACCTCCAAAAAAACAAAACAAAATCCACTTATCTAGCCCAAGTTTTCTGTTTCAAGGGTCAGAACAGATGACTTCTCTAAGATGCCTCAGCAATAGAGTGGTGCTTTCTGACAGTCACTGCCCCTTACTGCCCCACCTGACCTCCACTTCATCCAGGGCTTGCTCAATCATACCCTATACCTGCTGCAGCAGAACAAGACCCTCTTCAGAGAAAATGCCTTCAGCCCAGGCTCTCTGATGGCTTCACCCAAGACGAAAGAGAACATTCGTAACTCAGAACTCGCACTCAGTCAGCCTTTGTCCCCCCGACTTGGGAAGTGGCATCTTACCCTTAGGTGTACAGGATTCTTCCCTTGTCTGTGCCTTCCTTCCTCAACGAGCTTTCTGTGATCTCATCCCTGTATTCTTTCACCCGACACATCCTGATCAAGTCTGTCTAGACGCTGGGCTCTCCCAGATACCAGGAAAGACACAGATCCTTCTGAGAGACGAGATCCTCCCTACCCTCAGGGACTTGACAGGTGGGCATCAGATCGAGTCACTACACTCTGAAGGGAGAAGGGAGTGCCATGGAAGATGTGTGAAGGGTGAGGAATGGGGACGGCTTCATCAGGCTGACGAAGGTGGTAGCAGAGCAGGGTCGTGCTCGTGGGCTGGAGAGGATCTGTTTGGTGGTGCAAGGAATGAATGATTAGACATGGAGAAGCACTCACTGAGTATTCGCTGTATGCCAGTTGCTTTCAGTCCTTCTTTTATCCTCCCAATCGTCCCTGCAGGAGGTGCCATTAGTAAATCCTGGTTTACAGATGAGGAAACCAAAGTTCAGCGAAGTCACAGCTTTTCTCAAAGCCATGCATCTACTGAAACTCAAGTTTTCTGCCCCAAGAACCTGCTCTCTTAACTATTATGCCATCTTCAGACCCTTAGCCGAGGTGAGTAGCTAGCTCTTGTCTGGAGGGGTGGGGAGAATAGGTTAGAGGAGCACTGGATGGGTCTGGGAAATAGTTGGAATGCATGGGGGAAAGATAGGTTGAGGTTTTGTTTGTTGAGGGGCTTGGCTGCTAGGGTGAATCATTGGAAACTAAGCTAGTGAAGGATTTTAAGTAAGAGAAGGACACACAGCACAGCTCTGCTTTAGGAACATTCTGTGATAGGAGTGAGCAGACTCGGGTGGAGGAGAGCCTGGTGACCAGGTGACCACATTGGAGGCTGTTGCAGAATTTTTGGAACAAGAAAGCAAGGGCCGGGCTGGGGATTTAGCTCAGCGGCAAAAGCGCCTGCCTGGCAAGCGCAAGGTCATGAGTTCGGTTCCCGGTACCAGAGAAAAACCAAAAAAACAAAAAAAACAAACAAGAAAGCAAGGGCCTAGCCCGGTGTAGGGCAGGGTGACAGGCATGGAATGAGGTGAAGGGGTGGGTGCTCTGCTCACCACTGCAAATAACATTTGACCACTCACCACATACTTGACCTAGATTCACTCATTTGATCATCACAGTAGCTTCCACATCAGACCTGCCTCCATCCCCCCCCTTTCTCTCTCTCTCCCCTCTTCTCTCTCTTCTGTCTCTGCCTGACACTGACACTTTTCCCCTTAGGACATTAAACTCTGAAATTTCTCCCTTGAATATATAGAAATCACGGAAGGAGAAAACCCAGGATCAAGGAAGGAGAAAACTCAGAATCATGGAATCATGAACCATCTCAGACTCATTTAACCTCCCCATCTGACAGCTGGAGAAGCTGAGGCCTAGAGATAATCACTCAGTTCTTCGTCTAGGAATGGACTAGACAAGAGCGGGGAGGCTCTGGTTCTCCTGTTTCCCGGAGCCCGGCTGGAGGCTTGCAGTTGTGGTAAGTGACAGATGGCACCTCAGTCACCAGGCTGAAGGCACCTGGGGACGCTGTGGTCAGCCTGGGTTGGCAGCCCACCTCCCACACTGGCACTGCAGGCATGGGGCTTAGCAGCTCTGACTGAAGGGAGCATGTGTGGCTGGAGGGCATGAGTGAGGGTGACTCATGGCCTTTGTGGTATGGGTCACAGCTGCTCAGGGGGCATCCCAGCCTACAGGAGGCAACTGCCATCTGCACTGTGTTGGAGAGCCACTCTGAACCCACGTGCAAAGCAGAAGAGACACAGTGTGCTATAGTGTGGCAGCACCCCACCAAGACAACTGTGCCCAGCCAGCTCTGCCCTTGCGCCTTCCGGCTGTGTGACCTTGGGCAGGAGGTCATCTCACCCGGATGTGCATCTCACTCTTCTTAGACATTCATGAGTAAAAGAAACTGTACCCAGGCCATTTTGGAGATGTACGGAACTACTAGTGGGCCAATGCATGAAAAGCAGCAAGCAAATCAAAGACCTTTTGCAATCTAAAGGATTGTTCCTTTATGTTATGAATTGTATATTACGTATTGTTACTCTTATGGCTGGGAATGCTAATATTAACTTACCTCATTAAATCATTCTCAAAGGAAACGTGGTGGTGAAATGTTGTCTGCAGGTGGGGTATCTATGAGCTCTTTGCTCTGTTACTGCAAATGTTCTGTGAGTTTAAACCTACTTCTAAAAATTTGCTTAAGGTTACCTCCTCCCTGATGACTTCTCTGGAGGCAGGCGTTCTTCAGGCCACAAGAGAGAAGGCTGTCTGCTTTCACCGAGCTTGTATCCTAGCAAGCAGAGACAGACACTAGTCAACACCATACTAGGAAAAGTACCTGCTGTGCAAAGAGGTGTTAAGTCCTCTGGGGAATTAAAAGAAAGCAGCATGAGGGAGCAGAAGTCTCAGGTTCAGGGTGTTAGCGTAGGGACTCAGGGCTGATGTAGGAACGGAGGGAAGACGAGATCTGAGCAGCTTGAGAGAGTGGAGGGAGTTAATCAAGTAGATATCAGTAATAGGCAGGAGCATATTTGAGGAATAAGGAGGCCAGTGTGGCTGGAGCAGTAGGACTGGGGGATTGAGGACCAGAGAGACCACTGAACAGCCAGACCCTGGAAGTCTTAAAGGTAGAACCCAACACAACGTCTTTGATCTAAGTTTTATCACCAGGTCCTTCCTAGGGATTAAATTGTTCGACTGCACTAAAATCTCATCATTCTTTCTCCAAACCCTTCTCTCCAGCTGTGGAGAGAGAGAGAAATGGAGCACAAATTCACTCAAGAGTCTTGCTTCTTCAAAGAATACTGAGCTCTCTTAGAAGTTGTGACTCCTCTTCTACGATCTGAGATTTCAGGGCTGATGCTTACTCAGGCCTGTTCTGTGCCATCATGTAAATGTGGCATACAAGAAAAAGATGTTTTGCTCTCTACCAGGAGAACTGGCAAGCTCAGAGGCCAACCGACAGAAAAATGAGGGGCCAGCAATGTCAGTGAAAAGGAGGTCTAAGCAAGAAGCAGTATTCTCTAATGAAAAACCTGGTCCCTGAGAACGGACTCTCTCCTTGACATTGGTCCTGACTCATCAACATATGCTCTGTCACATACACAATCACTGTTATCTGCTACCTGCTCTCCCAGACCCAGAAATTCCCCCTTCAAACCACTCTGCACATTGCCAACAGACCCAGGTTCCCATGAACAGGAGGGATGGTGTTCTCTGCTCTGGCATTCTTCAAAGCCCGTGCCTGACCTACCAGTACCTGAGCTGGACCACAGCTTCATGAAGGATTCCCATCTTATATGAAGGAACCCAGATCCAACACCCCCAGACAGTGGACTTTTAGCTGGGGCAGGAGGCTGAACGAAATTAGGAGTGGCAATCTTTCATCTCAATTCCACCTCTGCAGTTCCAGTGCAATACAGCCTTCTAGTTCTCCTGCCCTAATGGTTGTGCAGTGTTACTGTAGGCTACTAAACAGCTGCCACCTTCCACCCAAGACCTGGGTGCTGTCCAAGGGTAGATAAAAATGTTCCTTCCTTCACATCAACTGCCGGGGGGTCTGCTGGAAAACCGTGCTAACGACCCAGGCATCATCCCTGAGGCCCATCCAGTGGTTTCAGACTTATTCCTCCTTTGTGTTGTTCTTTGGGGACTGGTCACCCTGCTGGTCCTCCTTCCCTTAAGCACCCATTTTGTTTCCTTTTTAAGCCTAGGGGTGGGGCTGAGAATTCTAGTCCAGACTCAGGGAGGAACACAAAAAACATTTCAGCTGAAAAGACCTCAGTTGTTACTCCTGTTTTTGTTCAGCAATGGAAGCCCTCCAAACAAACCTGACTTACAGCCCTACCATTTTAAGAATATACAGGCCAACTACCACAGCTTGAGAGAGGTTAGGAGTCCTAGGTTGTGCCTCTACCACTCTCACTGCTGTACGGGCCAAACCACCAGTGCTTTGAGCCCCTGATTTGTTTACACATTTTTATTTTGCAAATGATGGTCCTTGAGGCCTCCACTCTTACCGCAAGTCCCTCAGGAAATCAAAAGAAGAGCTGGATTAGGATCCTGGGTTCCTGATGCACAGCTCAGGTAGTTTAAAGAGACCAGGTGTGGGGCCACCAGGTGCCAGTATCTCAGTGCCTGGCCTGTAGAAGACTGGGAATGCAGGTGGCACTGCCAGTCTTTCCTGCTGGCTCACCAGAGGCAAAGGCATGCCTGTCCTCCTACCTCCACTTTCAGAGAGGTCACATCAGCAGCTTGAATTCTGTCACGGTGGGAAACTGACAGACTCTACAAGCTAAGGTCCCCCTGGCTAGTCCCTTAAGAGCTGATCCTTAGACATGGGGCAGTCTACCACTGCCTTAGCATTCATCGAGTCCACCATGTTCTGAAGTGGAAGGTGAGTCTTGTTTCTTAGTTGATAAACACTTTCATGGAATTGTTATGAGAAGTCATTCACAAAGATCTTTGGGATTGTGTCATCCAAGGCTGACAGGCTTTGATGCCTGAAAAACCAATTGATAAGGTAAATAGGCCAAGAAGCTGGATGAAGCAAAATAAAAAATGGTGAGAAATATGTCAGAAAATTAAGGAGTGTTGGTTTCCTAGGGCTGCCGTAAAGTATTATAGACTGAGTCGCTTAAGTAACAGCTGTTATTGACTCAGATGTCTGCACGATAGAGGTCCAAATCAAGGTATTGTCAGGTTCAGTTTCTTCTGAAGGCTGAAGAAACAGGATATGCTCTAGATTTCTCTCCTTGGCACATACATAGCATCTCTGTGTTCACAAGGTGTTGTCCAGGTAGGTATATCTGTCCTGTCCAAAGTCTCTTTTCTATAAGGGCACCGGTCACATTGGATCATGGCCCATCATAATGACCTCATTTTAACCTGATTAGCTCTATGGACCCTAGTTCCAACTAAGATTATATTCTGGACCTTGTCTCTAAACAAGGTCATATTCAAGAAGTCAAGACTTCAATGAAAGAATTTCAAAAGGAGCATAGTTTAATCCATGACATTCAGTCAAGACAGAAGCAAGACTGAGGGTTAGATCTGGCTTGCTCACTGCTGTGCTTCAGGTGCAGTCACCGAACCATTCCGGAAACTCAAACTCTGGGAAGGAAGAGGCTCTCCAAAGGTCAGGGTGGAGAAGGATGGAGGCAGACATTCTGACTCCCAGCCAGAGGCCTTTTGTCTTCTACTAACCTGCCTCTCCTGGCTTAGGGGCTATTTCTCTCATCTGTGTGTTATCTCAACATTCTAGAAGAGGCTGTCAGCAGCTAGGAAGCCAGGATATGTCTACCACTCATCTCCAAACTCCCATAAGCTTGCAGCCTGGGTGAGACATACAGAAGTTCAGAGACACCAGATTGGATTGCATCTGACTCAATGATCTATCCTTATCAGAGCTTTGGGATGCAGCTGGGATCCATGTTCTTTGCTGGTCCCTGAAACTTGTGTTCCTCTGAGGCACTTTTTTCAACAATGCCTTCTGACTACAGTCCAACAAGGGGGAAATAGGGTCAGTATCAGTGCCCAGGATTTTCCCAATCTGGTTGATAGTATCTGAAAGAGTAATTGGGGCATTCGTTTTAATCCTTGAGTCCTACTGCTCTAATATTTACTAAGTGTCACCACTCACTACACCTCTCTGAGCCTCATATTCATATCTGAAAATCAAAGGCTAATAAAACTTTGCTTGCAGAATAAGTCATCCATTTGCTCATTCAGCCAGTGTTGTAGGAAGCATTCCACATGCTTGGAACTGCCTTGGGCACCAAGCTCATGACAGTGACAAGATGAGATGGTCAATCCTCATGAACTTCAAGAAGGAAGACAGACCATTGTCTGTGTTGACCCCTGTGATAATGTAAGATGGGACCATGCTCAGTGCAGGGAAACATGGAACAGGAAAGCCTAGGCCAGTGGTGGGGAACCTATGGCATGTGCGCTTCCAGGAGCTGTTTGTGTGGTTGAAAGCTCTAAAAGGTTCACCATCACCAGTCTAGGCAGACTTGGGTCTGGGAGGACTCCTGAAGGGGAAAGGTCACCCAGGTAAAGAGTGGAGAGGGGAGGATCCAGTGGTACCCAGGAACAGAAGGGATCCTGACAGTGTCCAGGGCAGAGGGGACACATATCCAGAGACCTAGATGAGAGAGAACACAAGGTGTGACACAGATGTCACATGATCTCTGGAACACAAAGAGCACTCCATAAATACCATTTGCCTTTTCATTCTCATAGAATACATACAGGTATCATTTTCTCATCTCCAAGACCAGAAATGTCAACACAAAATTGAAAAAAACAAAACAAAACAGACTTTTGTACTACATGTCTCAAATTAATGAAGTCCATGTTGTAATGTATGATATCCTTGGTAAGATATATTTTTCAGTGAAACACATGTATTCCATTTTTCACATACATGGAAGCCAAATTATCATAAATATATTTATGTGTATACAGCGGTACCTTGTTCATAAACTCAATTCTTTCCCTAATTCTGGTCACAAAGTGAATTAGACAAGAACCAAATTAAATTCCATGGTTAGGTTCAATGTTAACCTTATGGGGAAATTTGATTCAGTTCTCATCCAATTCACTTTGCAACCAGAATCATGGAAAGAATTAAGTTCTTGAACTGAGGTATTACTGTATATAGTTGTTCTTTAGTCTGAAGCAATGATTCTCCTTTGTCCATACAAGGATTTTACTACTTTCTGACTTCAACTGTTGAGTGAATCCAAGTGTTATTGTTTGTTCTATAACCCATAATTATCTGCATACACCTTTCACTCTTTGATCATACCAAGCTTCTCACATCAAAATTCTCTGCTCACCTGGAAACTGTATTCCAGAGGCTTTGTGCCCACACACTGTAGGGATCCCACGCAGGAGCTCACTCTGCTAATAAAAATAAGAATGAAGACAATAACTGTCAGTGCATATGTGTTTATTTTTGTGGATTTTTGTAATATATGCAGCAGCACGAAATATATACCGTTTTTTACAAAGAAATGTTGACCTACATCACACTAATTAATATCACCTTCTTGACAGATTCCTTCTCTGGTAACTGGATACAAGTGTGAATAGAAACAGCAAGAGAAAAACCAAGGGACAATTTGATAGGCATTTAGTACTTTTTTCAAGATATGCATATATATTCTGAGTATTTCCTTCTTTCCTCTCCTTTCCTT